ACACTAAGCATTATGTGTAGTTTATGGAACTGTTTTGATTATTCAAATCAAGCAAGTAGTTTTGATTCTGTATATGTTTTACTGTCATTTGAAGTGTTCAAATACTAAATAATTCAATAATGCATTTAAGTTCAATGTTTGTGTTATAAGTGCAAGACTTCAGTATAAAGCAGAGAATGTCATCTTTCAGGACAAGTATTTAGATCAGTTGTAACATTTATAGTTTTGATAAAATATCAGGTTAAAGTAAAATAAGAAACACAGCATGGGCCAAATGTCCTGCTGGCTGAGATCAGCAAGGAGCCTCAGCAGGAGGTCTTCTGTGAGGGACAAGTAGCAAGTATATAAGGAACGAGACAGAGAGAGTAGAGAGGGACCTTGCAAGTCAAAAAGGAGAGAGAAACCTTGAGCGTCAGAAAGGAGAGAGTTAAAGATTATCAACATTTGGATTAACCTGAGTAAGCTGTACATGGAAATAAAGATGTAAGGAATGGCAGCAATGGTGTTGGAGTTATGACTACAAGGACGACGTAGGATTACGTCGTATGGCCGGACTATGACATCAGACCCCAAAAGGGCAGCCGGCATACAGGTGTGGAAAATCACTGATCCCAACTGATTTACACACAAATAGCCTAGTAGGCATATCATCTAGTACAATTACAACTTACAATGAAATAGTGTGGTGGTCAGTTTTCACACCAAGGTCATTTTGGATATATATATACATTTATTGTATATAAAATTAACCAGGCGATCTATGTCATATTTCCGTCTATGACTTTCAGATTTCATTTTCCATACATGCAGGATTTTCTTTCAGATTTACACAAATTTACAAAATATCATGCAGTGTAAAACTGTGGAATGCATTACAAAAGTCTGGAAATTTATTATGACGGTCTAAATGTAGTTCGGAAATAGTTCTCCACCTGGAATGTGGACACTGCTGCGGGACACAAAACTCCATGTACTTCCAATCGGAGTTATAATTGTTATCAATACCCTATCAACGAAAGAAAAAATATTGTTATTAAGACAGAAAGTCCTTTGTTTGCATCCAAGTCTAATGACCAGCAAGGACCCAAATGTGACCTACAGAACTACACTAAAACAAGGCAGGGAATCAACTCGAAGCCTTTCAATGTTAAACCATGTCTGAGAAACATCATGGAGTGGGCTCCCTGTAATTGGTTTTCGACCCAGTGACATTTGTCTGATACCAATAGAGCTCGATGTAAGCCGTATGACCTAAGTGGCCACTCTTCCTCGACCAACGGGCCTCGGAAGCCACAGAATGCCACCTTGGTAATAGTGTTTCTGACCCAGTGGCATTTTGTAGTCGGAACCCTGGGAGTTCTTACACATACAACATCTGTCACCTAAGATTAATAGTTCCTGTGTGTAAACATATCAAAAAACATATCAAAATAGAACAGGGTCTGATTTAACTCAATTACCACTGAAATTTCATAATGAACTATTCCAACCTTTGATTGGAAGAGTTCAAATGTGTCTTCAGAGGTAAATCGGCTGATAAGGAAACCTGTGAGAGCTATTTTCTTTAGTTCTACAGTGTCTAACATGACTTGATTGTCCTGCCCTAATGGCTACTATTGAGACAAAAATGTTTAAAAAAAAATATCTTTAAATTCACATATTTTACAACAATTATTTCGCTCAGGTGGTAGTGCACAGGGGGTACCTTAATGTGGCCAGAAACCAGAGTACCCAAAACGTACAGTCAGGCACAGGTGGTGACGCAATTCCTTTTCACATCAAAAGCAATTCCTGGCCATCTTGGTAAAAGGGGAATCTACTATCCACTGCGCCACCCAACCATCTAGGATTGTTTGCATGCAAAAACGTCTAATTTCGTTGGAATGTGTATGTGAAAATCGTCATTTTTATACAATTAAGTGATGTACCGTTCGTCAATATTCTAAAGAGTGTCATCCACCACTAAAAAAAGAATTGATGAATTTGAAGCATAGACCTGTTTTACAAAAATAATAAGCAATCTACATCTTCAAAAGCAAATTGAGATTTTCACACATGGTTTTGCCATCAGAAAACTGACTTTTTTGTAACAAACATCAGTGTGCATCGAGAAAATTCGTAACATAACAATATCATTTAACAGTGTGTATAACTCGAAGAGATATTAAGGTTGTACGACAAACACTGCCAAAACTAAAATAGAACTTATCGATAAGTGTGTGATTTTCAACACATCGGGGATACAGACTTTTAAAATGTTACAAAGTTTTATTTTGATTTTAATTATTACTGTTGAAAATTCAAACTAGCAAATAGTGCAGTAATCTTGTCAATGACTAAATCTAGTGTTATCACGTTGCTGCCATTTATTCTGCAGAGAAAAATATGTAATAATTAAGGAACTGGACTCCATTTGTATTCATGCTTGCAGACATTTGATATAAGTCATGTGAAACTCCTATTCATTTTCACACAAGATCTTCAATACCAACTCGTGGTGCTTCGAAAGCAATGTTAACACTTCAAATTCATTTAAATCATAGTCTTATACACTTACAGGATAATCAGAATTACAACAAGTGTATTGATTTATTGTTGTAAATTACGAATCTTGCGGTATTTCAAGTGGTGTAGATAGTATTGCCTAAATGTTTATACTGCAATATTTGTTTGTGATTAGCCAAAAGATAAAACGCTATTTTTTCATCATCCACTGAAAATGTTAACAAGGTTTGAAAAATTTGATTTATTTATGTTTTCATTTCATTCAAATTATTCCACAATTTTATGTGAAATCTAGTTATCTGAACATTGCATCATTTTAAAACATCGAATTCTACCATCACAACTAACACAATAAAATCAGCAAAGCATTTAAACGATTATTTCTGACGGACCTAAATAATGTACAAGGCTAGCGATAGCGCTATTTCAATCAATATTTACGCCCTCATATTTAACAATCCTCTTAAAAATTCCAACTATCTATCCCGATTAAACTAGGGATGATTTCATTTTGTTGTTTTAGCGTGATCACTTTGTAAGCACAGTGGTTTTTTATACGTGTTTCTGAGTGCTGAAGGGAAACCGAGACAGAGGCTAGGTGATGTGGATTTACCTTCAGGTCTCTGTGAACCACGTGATGATTATGACAGTACTCCACCGCTAGTATGATCTGCCAAAACTTCTTGCGTGCCTCTAGTTCCGTCATGCGACCATGTCTGGCAATGTAATCTGTAAGAAACAAAATACGTTGTTTTTTTGCATTACTGATCACTGGCAAAAAATATCTCCATGAGAAAATATCTCTTAATTAATAATTTCTTACGCAGAGGTTGTTTGTGTATGGTTACGATTACACAGTACGACTGAATCAGCCATCATCATAATTTTAAGTTTTAATTAAGATTCTAATCTTCAGGAATTAGTACTATAGGTGATTACTAATGTCAAACACCTTTTCTTACATTGATCTGAAAATGGATAAAACACCATTTTCAAAGTTTTTACCATTTTATAAAAAAAAAAAAATCTTATGAAAATTATTTCAACTGGGGTGTTACTATCTATTAACAAATTCATCCCTGAAGACATATTTGAACCCTTCCAATTCAACGGTTGCAAGATTCCATTATGAAATTTCAGGGGTTAACTCATTCACCCCTGAAATTTCATAATGAACTATTCTAACCTTTGAATTGGAAGAGTTCAAATGTGTCTTCAGGGGTGAATGTGTTAATGAGTTAACCAAACATTTTCTTACACTGGTTTAGGGGTATATCATCATATCCTTATACTTTATGTTAAGGGCCCTGGGAAGCCCCATCTCATTTGAGGGAACATATCCTTGTCAACCCTACAATAAATCTGATAGGGGCCCTCCATCCCTCTACAGTAGACATATTCTTAAAATGTCAAACCTGCTAACGACACCACCTCCATTAAGTCACTACCTGTGTTAAACGACCACCTTTAATATATTCCCCATTGTAGTAATACCATTGTAAACAAAACCTCCATTAAGAGACCACCTCCATTAAGAGACCACCTCCATTAAGAAACCACCTCCATTAAGAGACCACCTCCTTTAAGAGACCACCTCCTTTAAGAGATCACCTCCATTAAGAGACCACCTCCATTAAGAGACCACTTCCTTTAAGAGAGCACCTCCATTAAGAAACCACCTCCATTAAGAGACCACCTCCACTAAGAGACCACCTACTTTAAAAACTATTTTCTGGACATCCAAATAGTGACCTTTTAATACCTGTTTGACTGTAGTTTTGAAGCCTATTTCATAGCATTTGAGTAACACTAGGGTCCATGTTTGTCCCCTTAGAAAACATTCCATGTAGTTTCCTAATTCTGGGCCTCTGTTTCCGTTTAGGGCAGCCGTCCTTGGCACATACTGGTGTTATTTCTTTCCAGCACATTTGAACGTTCTATTTTAAGTGCAGGCATGACTTACGAATTTTCCAAGCACTGTTATGAAGGCTAAAAATAGTTGAGGCATTCTAACAGGTTGAGTACACCAGTCCCAGTCAGGACAAGTAGAGCGAAAACAATTTTATAGTTGTACCATCAACAGGTGGGGCCTCTGTACTGTGAACTCCCCGGGTCTGACAGTATTTTTTGAAGGGCTGTATATGTAATCCTAAGGGTCTGACAACATTTAGAGATGGGCACTGTACTGTAGCCCTCAAGACTGACATGATGTGGGGGATGCTGTTAACTTTTCTGACTCACATGAGCATCACGCTGTAAAGTCTTTAGATCTGACAATATTGTTTTTGAGGGCTGTTTGTGTAATCTTAAAGATTTGACATTATTTAGAGAAGGGTGCTCTGGTTTGACATTGTTTTGAGGTCCCTGCACTGTACTTTCCAGATTTGACAATATTCAGCTGAGGATACTGTATTGTATACAATTCAGGTTTCACTATATTATTCAAATTTCATCAGAGTATAAAAACACATAGGAATTTCTGAAAACTAGTACGGTTACATCATCATTAATTTAGAATTAATACAGTACAAAACTTTTAATGAATGTGTCCCCGTTTTGAAAAATTCATTAATCTTATCATAATACATATTTACCCACCTGAAGAAAATGTTTAGAAATAATATAATTCTTAATCTTTAAAGGTTTTGATTCATGGGTGTTAAAATCCAGATTTTATCTTATATTAATATTCCAATTAATCTTTCATAATTGGATAAATGCTTTAATTTGCATATCCAAACCGTGTGTACAGAACACACCAGTAGAAGTGGTGCCAGGAGAGATGGACTAGAATTCTAATTAACACATCGTAATTGGTTTTCGGTTCACCGTGTAGACAGCTGATATTGACAAAGCCTGAACCCAGAGTAAACCCATGAAGGAGTTCAATATAGCCACAACAGGGTGGTCATCTGATAAGAAACCATTACAATGATGATCTGTTATCAAAACAGCTCCAGGTTTTACACACCTGACCAACAAATCTTATTCTTAATCTATCTCTATTCTTTACAAGACTGACCATCAAATCTGATTCTTAAATTTTCTCTTTTCTTTACAAGACTGACCATCAAATCTTGTTCCTTAATTTTTCAATTCTTTACAAGACTGTCCATCAAATTTAATTACCAAATTTGTTCCGATTCTTTATAAGACCACAAAACCAGAGAACAAGAGGTCTGATCATTGGTGCAAACACAATGGTTACTCAAGAAATATTTTTGACGTATACTCTGGTTTCGGTAACCTAACGTATAATGTCATTAACCCAGGGTCAAGGACACTTACCCCCTGAAGACTCATTTGAACTCTTCCAATTCAAAGGTTGGGATAGTTCATTATGAAATTTCAGGGGTGAAAGAGATGAGTATCAATGGACATGAGAAGGTGCGTTCACCTGTACACAAACTTGACCGTTCACCTGTACACAAACTTGACCGTTCACTGTACACAAACTTGGACGATGTAACAAAGTGTTTGGGTAACCAGTATGACCTTTGGCTGTTGTCGACTTAGGGTGACTTTTGGGAGGTGTATATATATACGGCTGCCGAGAAACGGTGTAATTGGGAACGTGACTTGATGGCCCTGAATGTCATGGGCCGTCCTGGATAACCAATCAACTGTCAGCGCCCTGGATAACCAATCGATGTGTAGGAGGTCTGCACCATTAGCCCGTGATTGGGTGCCAATGAGGAGATGATGAGAGAACGGGAGGCGGGCAGGAATCACAAAGACGAAAAAGGCCAAAGATAATTACATTGCTCGCCGTGTGCATATATCTACACAATACAAGGGATATAAATGTCAGAGTGGAACTCCAGCCCAAGTGTCTTCAAAACTCAACATGCAATTTAATATCCCAAGAACAACCTGAGAGGACTCCTACATCCCATAATAACCATGACTCGGGCTGTGTTGCCTTGGCGATACCAAGTGACGTACATGTTACCAACGTGATAGAGGAATCACACATAAAATTGCACTAGACAATTAACAAGGACTTGCTAGAAATCAAAAGGCCATCATAGAGTAGGCGGGTACCAGTGCACTGAATGGTAATGATATACACTAAAAACGTCGAGAACTTTTTCACCACTGAAATTTCATAATGAACTATTCCAACCTTTGAATTGGAATTGTTCAAATGTGTCATAGGGGTGAATGAGTTAAACACAGGTATACAACACACTAAAACTGTCGACCCCCCCCCCCGACACACTGATGTACATGCATGTTAAGTCCTTTACATTTTTTGCAGTTTTAATAAATATTTTGCTGTTCTGTTGAAACTAGGAAATCACAGAAAACAGCATAAGAAATAGTATCTAGTAATGTATTTCTGACTGATTTCTCACCTTCACAAACCCGACAAACAATTTACATATCACTAGTACAAACTCATGGGTGGGTACAGCAGGCAATTTACATAGTACCTATACCTAGTACAAACTCAGGGGTGGGAATAGAAGGCAATTTACATAGTACCTATCACTACTACAAACGCAGGGGTGGGTATAGCAGGCAATTTACATAGTACCTATACCTAGTACAAACTCAGGGGTGGGTATAGCAGGCAATGTATACATAGTACCTATCACTAGTACAAACTCAGGGGTGGGTATAGCAGACAATTTTCATATAATAATATCTAAAGGAATTATTAAATATATCCCATAATATTGTACCCCTAGAATGTTGGTGTAAATAAAACTGTTTAATATAGAAAATTGAAAACTCTGCATTAGTAAATCAAGTTTCAACGATAAAAATGAAAATCATTTGATACAATTTTGGAAGCTATCACACCCAACAAGCTTGATTTGGATAAGATTAATTAAATTTTACCAAATTTCTGCAGCTTTATTTCATAACTGTGTCTAAACCACCAAATTTATTTCAATATATATTGCCATTTCAAAATCCACGGCCATAAGACCTTAAAACACAAAATAATTCATTGTGTCCTTATTATTTTATCCCTTTATGAAGTCTGAACAAAATCCATGAAGAATCAAGTGCTGGAACGATGCCAAAAATGTGCATCTACCTGATACCATAACTTAAGCTTCTAAATGAAAAATTGTCAACTTACCAAATATTTCACCATTCGGAGCATATTCTGAAACCAGGTACAGCATATTCTTAGTTTCCATAACCTGTAAAATAAAAATATTCCATCAACTTCATTGACAATATTGGCTGCTTCAAAAATAAAACACTTACATATTGGTTTAGCTCATTCACCCCTGAAGACACATTTGAACTCTTCCAATTCAAAGGTTGGAATAGTTCATTATGAAATTTCAGGGGTGAATAAGTCAATACCTGGGACAGGGGTGGAGGTGGGGTAGTATACAGAGATGATCCCGGAGGAGGCCATGGGACCGGACCATTGACCCCTAAAATCTGAAATTGACCCCTCCACGTTCCATAGTTATTTTTATTATTTTAAATGGAATGGCCCTCATAATTTTGATATTGACTAAAAGTTGCTGAATTGTCCCACTGCTCTGAAATTGCAAGATTTTCCCTGGTATATCAAAACAACATAACAGATGAAACTGGTTCAATATTTTTTCAAATGCATTTCACCTATGGCTTTTAATCAATGAAAAAATATACAATGTTGACAACACTTCAATTCCTCAAGCTTCAGACAATTATATAACTTTGAAGAGAATTATCTAAATTAAACTTTCATTTTTTTAAAATACAACTCCAAGGTTTCAAGCAAATTGTTTTTGAAAAACATTTTTGTCGGCCCAAAAAGGACCTGTACTGTGCAACGACACCTAGATAATATATATATATATAGAAAAATCTGACAGAATTATAGAAAAATCTGACAGAATTAAGTTAACAATCGAGAGATCTAGATTGTTTTTAAATCGACAAAAACTTATAAAGGGTAGAATATAAAAAAAGGGTGGGGCACTGAAAAAGTAGGGCAGTGACTTAAAGGGCAGGGTGCCAAATCTGTTTTCAATTTCCAATCAGGCAGGGCATGGTGCCCTGTGCTCTGACAAGTACACACCACTTCAGTACAGTGAAGATTGTTTTAAACCATATATGGTGTAGCTAGGTAAAAAAGAATGTTGCTTACACTTCCCGGTCTTGGCTAGGTGCCAGCCTGGCGATACCACTTCCTACATACCCAAATCATTTTATGAATGAGAGGAGTTTTTACCAAGTATTTACGTTACAGGGTATAATGTTATCTTTGTTCCGCCAAAAGTGCACTAAATTATTTATGCAACACATATATCAGATAGAATTATTTGTACTCTCCTCACTTTCATTATCAATATCTATCTATCATACTCACAAAATCATAACGTGAACTTGTTTTTTCGTGTTTCATTGGTAATGTATTGTAGTGTGGTTTTTTTCTAGTGTCACGATCGTGCTCTTCACAAAGGTGATTACCTCGAAAAGGAGATCCGTGTTACACAGTAGACCTGACACTCGTGAGCAACCCATAAAAATCCTATAAAGTAACACAATGATGTCTCTGTTAGCGCTATTGGTCTAAAGTCTAGTCACTTTTTATCAGGGACACCTTTTTTAACGATAAATCTGTTGAACCGTCATTATTTTAAAACAAGAAATGTGGCTTAAAACCGTCATAAAATTATCAGGATTTCAATTTTATCTTTTAGAACGAATATATTTTTAATTCTATTTTTCCATCAACATCTTTTGTGTGGCATACCTCTACGAAAGTTTTCAGTTCCTATTTAGGTAGGTCCTAGCTATCTTATCCAAATCCTACCCAACCTGTTGGTTAAGGAAGTGCCATCACTTCCTGCAGTGGGATGTACTGAGGTAGTCCATATAAGGTAAACAGCTAAAGCGTATATTACCACAAACTGCCTGTGGTAACAGTTACAAGGCCTATACAAAAATCTAAAGAGAACATTTTGCCACTATAAATAATAATGTGAGAAAAATCTCAATGAACCTTGTGAATGCTTTATATAAAGAGCTACCTTGGAGATAAGAGTATAAAATATCCGATAAGTGTTAACTTAAAACTTCCTGCTCTCAAATCACATTCTTTTATTTAAAACTTTTCATATCTTGACATAAAAAGAAAAAATGCTGAAAAATAAATTGTCAGGGTTTGTCGATCAATAAAACCCATTTTGATTTTATGACATTTTACAAAGTTAAGTCAAAGCTATTAATTAAGGATGTATACTACTTCCCACATTATACATGTACCTGTAATTTACTTTGTAGAGTTAACTCCCGTTATAACATTAAGTCCACAAAGTAACTTTTAATCTTACTATTTTAAAAAGAGTTAATTCCCTTGATCGGTTTTTTAAAGATGATTCTTGTTACAGTCATGTAGCATACAGCCTTAAGTTTTAATCTTACTATATTAAAGAGTAAACTCCCTTGATCAGGTTTTTAAAGGAGATTCTTGTCACAGTAATGTAGAATACAACCTTAAGTTGACAAGTACCATTTAATCTTACTATATTTAGGAGTTAACTCCCTTGATAGTTTTTATGAAAGGAGATTCTTGCAATATCATATACAACCTTAAGTTGACATAGTATGATGAAATCTTACTAATTTAAACAGTTAGCTCCCTCAATTAAGTTTTTTTGAAAGGAGATTTTTGTCACAGTAATGTAGCATACAACCTTAAGATGACAAAGAGTAAGATTTAATCTGATTATTTTAAAGAAAAACACAAACAAAAACACTTATTATCGTATGTTATCTTGACTCGAGGTCCTGTCACTCGAGAAGTACTGTTTAGAATCTATCAGGTAACACAGCCAACTATCTAAATGTTACCACGCTGCAGGAAGTATCGGCCTATATTTTAACAACCGGACAAGAAATCTGATAAAAAGCTACTACCCAAAAAACAATTTCTTCCTGAATTGAGCATGTGATGAATTCCAACGGTACATGACCATACAGGGCTGGCTGGGTGGTTGTACAGAGTTTAATTCATTCACCCCCGAAGACACATTTGAACTCTTCCAATTCAAAGGTTGGAATAGTTCATTATGAAATTTCAGGGGTGAATGAGTTAACGTCCCATCAACAGCTAAGGTCATCAAAGGACGTAACCATGCAGGGTTTTCATTTGTAGCCAGTAATATAAAAATACCTTTCAACAGATATTCACCTATTTTTGATAAAAAAAAAAAAAATGGAGAATGGAAATTAGGTGTTATGAAATATTCTAAAGTTAACATCCTTCTTTGTATGATCAGATACACATAACTTGAAAAAAAATTCAAACCCCTGTATTTCACCTACAATTTTTTTGGTGTAAGTATTTTTATTATAGTGTAATAAGAGATGGATGATATAAACCTGTTTTTATCGTACAAAAGCTAAAACAAAACTTAGGGATGAATTTTATAAAAGTCATGAATTTTGGTTTGTTTGTGTTTTACGTCTGGCTGCAGGATGGTGTTTTTTTCTCCGGGAACTCCCGCTTTCCTCCACCAACAAAACCTGGCACGTCCTTAAATGATCACCTTAGCTGTTAATAGGACGTAAAACACAAACAAACTAAACCAAAGATATAGCACACACATTCCATGAAGCATATTTCGAATATGGAACTGTTATAAATCGTCCTTTCATTAGACAAATGCCGACAACTTAGAATCCAATTAATGTACAAGCCTGCAGTGGTCTTGTCAGCTAACAAAAATAATTGAAAGTCAAGGATAATCCTGTCGCAATAGTAACTTGATCAACAACGTGTGCCCTTTATTACAAACTTGTAAACCTAACACTAATTACTTTTTCACCTTGGTCCAGTTATTCTATATTTCATATTAAGCTTAACACAAAACTTTCATCTGGCAAATTTTCAAAAAGATTGAAATTCAGAAATAAAATACATGTATACAATTCATTTGAAGAAAAGAAATTAATATAAAAACCATAAAAAAAATAAAAAATATAGATCTATATATTTTTAATATTCATGTTAACAATTTGTTCAGTTGATCAAGCTTTGAAAAAAGTGGGCCGCGATTATGGATCCTTATCATTTTATTTCAATTGTTCCGTTTTTGATGAATGCCTTTAATATTCTGTCTAGTCTTATTTGTTCAGAAACCACTCAAAAAAGTGAATAATGGGTTGAACTTAAATAATCATGAACTGTTTAAAAATAAACTGCTGTATTGTTAACAAGCCGTGGATCTGCAATTGTGGCAAAAAAACTGAATACCATTATCAGATTCATGAAAGTTATTTAAATAGATTTGAGGTATTTAAAGTAACGCACCTCGAGGGATTAACAATGCAATCCTTTATGGGGGGGAATATTTACAAACTTTGATTACCAAGACACACAAAGGGCCTGTGTTTGGACAAAGACATTTGTTGGAATAGACGGATACCTATGTAGCAGTTTTGTTTACACACAGTGAGCCAAGTGCGTCAGCGAAACAGCAGCAGACGGACCTATCTCAATGAATCAGTCAGCATACGTTCACACTGCTCTTTTCAAATCCCTAAACCCCACAACAAATAACGAATAATATGTTTCAATATTTATCTTAATAATGTCCGTACTTATTTCACTGGCATAAATAAACAACACATATTTCATCTAGAAGTGGGGGAGTAAAGTTTAGGGTGAACGGCCCTTAAATGTTGATATGGCCAATTACCTCTTTAGCCAGCCAATAATTAATGTACCAAATTCAGAGGATTTTATTCATCCAAAATCATATCATTTGCGTCACAACTGAGAACACTGACCCTGTCACAGCCAATCACTTGACGGAAGCTACGAATTGAAGTATACATATACAGCATAGAATAAACATGGCTGTATATTTGTTGTTCTGTACATTTTTCATAAGCTTCTTCTGAAATATTTTGCAATATATATATAAATTAATTCAGGGTTCCAATTTTTTAATAACAGAAATTATTTTTTCCTACTGTTTAAATCGATTTTTTGTATGGATTTTATTTTTTTCATTTGTCAAAATGATTTTATAACGTGCATATTCAGAATTTAGAGTCCTCACAAAAAATTATGAAAATTATGAAAATGTTAATATGAATGTACCTCAAAAATCAGAAGTTCTCAAAACTGTAGTGTAATTGTATAAAAATATATATGAGTTCCAGACTTGCTTTAGATACATTTAAGACATCATTTCTATAAGGCATAAAGTATCAATATTAATGTCTGTAAAACAGAAACAAGTTTCATTAATACATTTAAACAATTAGAATCTTGATGTGTATACAGTGTTTTTTTACCTAAATTTTGCAACAACCTGTTTTTTTATGAATTGGGAAAATTTAGTGATATTTCTCATTCCTTTATGAATTGTGAAAATATAGTGAATTATTTTTATTTGAGATTGGGAGTATATTTCTCATTTTTTAGTCATTTTGGGAAAGTAAGGCACTTTTTAGGTAGGGGAAACAGCCTGTTTTCAGCGGTAAAACTGGGCAAAAAAAATCACTAATATATGTATATAAACTTAAAGACTTTATCGATATCATAGTTGCCTCATGAACTCTCCACAATTCATAATGACTCAAACTTGTCCAAATACGACATTATATTGTCCCAAATTACGTGTTAATTGTGTGTTTGCCCTCCACTATGACGTACGGACTATTGATATTGATCACATACACACCTATGTAGGTAGATGCGGAAGTCAGTGTTAATGCTGTGTAACGTTTACTTTGTGCTGAAGATTAGAGTAAACAGCCAAGAGCTTGGTGGGGGAGCTTACATACCTGGGACTTACGTCAATGTGGGGCTATATACCTAAATACAGGTGTGCTGTAAACATCGTCTTACTACTTGTCTACCTGTAATTCCGCGGTATTCAAACATCGTAACACTTCTGTATACACCGTGGAATCCCTCCAAATTAGCCCAGTATGTTGGCGTCAATGGTTAAGGTCACAGGGGTCATTGGGTCATCAGGTCATCCATATAGTTCTTTCAATCTTATATACCTATCTTTCATGTAGAAGCTGGATAATGGATAATGTTATCTTTTGACCATCTTATCAAATATTACATATATCAGGATAAAAATGTTTACTTTAACATATTGTTTAAATTTCACTTAAAATACTTTTTATTTTTATTTTTTTTAATTTAAAATTTAGGAGTTATCAGAAAGTATTTAAAAAATATATAGTTATATGGGATTATGGTCCAACCTTTCACTACTTTATGCATTATACTCAAGACCAATTATAAAGAGCCGATTAAGAAGTGAAGTGACGTACGGAAAGTCCTGAGGATAATAAAACAGATTGACCAGTGACGTAGCCTTTTAAATCACAATAATTTGGTCAGTGGGTTACAATACAGAGTGTGGTGTGCGAGAACAGTACTAGTATATATTGGTAATTGTGATGTTTTAAAGGGGCCCTGTCCCACTTCAGGCAAATCACTAGAGAATTACAAATTTATATTTTCTGAACATGTAACTGTTTCCCCTTAATCTCTAGAAAATTAAAAAATTATTTTTCCGCACATGCAATCGTTTTCACTTTATTACATTTTGGATAAAACTGTGTTGAGACTGGATCAGGACCTAACAGCTGATCTGCTAGCTTGATCAGGACCTAACAGCTGATCTGCTAGCTTGATCAGGACCTAACAGCTGATCTGCTAGCTTGATCAGGACCTAACAGCTGATCTGCTAGCTTGATCAGGACCTAACAGCTGATCTGCTAGCTTGATCAGGACCTAACAGCTGATCTGCTAGCTTGATCAGGACCTAACAGCTGATCTGCTAGCTTGATCAGGACCTAACAGCTGATCTGCTAGCTTGATCAGGACCTAACAGCTGATCTGCTAGCTTGATCAGGACCTAACAGCTGATCTGCTAGCTTGATCAGGACCTAACAGCTGATCTGCTAGCTTGATCAGGACCTAACAGCTGATCTGCTAGCTTGATCAGGACCTAACAGCTGATCTGCTAGCTTGATCAGGACCTAACAGCTGATCTGCTAGCTTGATCAGGACCTAACAGCTGATCTGCTAGCTTGATCAGGACCTAACAGCTGATCTGCTAGCTTGATCAGGACCTAACAGCTGATCTGCTAGCTTGATCAGGACCTAACAGCTGATCTGCTAGCTTGATCAGGACCTAACAGCTGATCTGCTAGCTTGATCAGGACCTAACAGCTGATCTGCTAGCTTGATCAGGACCTAACAGCTGATCTGCTAGCTTGATCAGGACCTAACAGCTGATCTGCTAGCTTGATCAGGACCTAACAGCTGATCTGCTAGCTTGATCAGGACCTAACAGCTGATCTGCTAGCTTGATCAGGACCTAACAGCTGATCTGCTAGCTTGATCAGGACCTAACAGCTGATCTGCTAGCTTGATCAGGACCTAACAGCTGATCTGCTAGCTTGATCAGGACCTAACAGCTGGTCTGCTAGCTTGATCAGGACCTAACAGCTGGTCTGCTAGCTTGATCAGGACCTAACAGCTGGTCTGCTAGCTAGTTCAGTTGTTTCTTCATTATTTGGGAAATAATAGCAATATTTTACTGAAATTGGGAAGATATCCCTAATTGTTTTGCATCATTTCGGAAAAAATAAGCACTTTTTTGCAAAGGGAAGCACCCTGAATCGAATTCGGTTGTAAAACTTGTCAAAATACATTGATGACTATTATTTCACTTTCATCCTTATTCCATAAAATTTCTGCAAGTAGGGTTAAATTCTTTTCAGGAATTCTGTATAAAAGCTATGGTATTGCCAGTAACAACCTTCCCTATTCATATTTACATTTTTTGGCAGTGGGATAGGGATCCTCAATGTTACGATCTGCAATAAGGCTTATACTCCAAAAATATCTTGACCAGTCAAATCAATTGTAATGATTTTAAGGAGTTCAGCTATAAAGCAAAACTAAGGTAAAATGAAGTTACCTTGATCTATTAATTTTTTTCTCCATTGCGGTTTTAAGAAGCTTGTTGATCTAGAGTGTAGCCTCTATGAAATCGAAATGAACTTGACCAGGAAAAACTCTCATCCAAAACAGTTGATAACGTTGTTCATGTTCACATGTATATATAAACAGTTTTGGCCTATAATAAACAGCTCACACACACAAAAAAAATGCCATTGCTTTCATTGATTATTCTCTTTAAATAGCTTGAACACACATGATCTGCTGTAGGAAGCGTTTTCCTCATTAGAAGCCTAAAAGTGTATTGATTAAGACAGTGTTAACGGTATGAGTCACGGCCAGGTACAGGTAGTAGTAGCTATAGGCTGCAGCTGAGCAGTGCAAGTGTTTCAACAAGTGTGTTTCAACAAGTGCAATGCTTTCACCAGCATTGAAAGCATTGCCCAATCCTGACTCCCAATTTTGGACCGTTAAATTTAGTATTTTCAACCAGTGAGTTTGCTAAACTGCTAAATGCTAAAAGATTTAATGATTTCACCTGAATGAACAACTCACAATATGTCATTTAAAAGGTTCTTTTGTCTCTAGGGGGTATATATATACACACATTTTATTTATGTTTTAATTTTAAGTATGCTGAATATCCCCCAAGGGAATTTCAAAAAGTTGGCAACCATGCTAATTACAGATGTATGTAGCCGGTGAGGATTGAATTGAGGTGACGTTGCTTTACTTACCTGGTAAAGCTTGATTATATTCGGATGACTTAAAAGCTTCATGATTTGAACTTCTCTGTAAATTTTCTTTAAATTATTTTCATCCAGTTGTGTCTTATCGATAATCTTGATGGCAACCTGAAATGAGAAAAAACAAACATTTTATAGATTTGATGGGGTAACAGATCATACTTCATATTCTCTGTTAAGTTCTTAAGATTTTCAATGAAATTAATATTCATTGTACACAACAAACAAATCCCATACACAGTAATGGTAGGTAGAACTTTTTGATTAATGTTTGCCATTACACATGGCCCTGTTTCGCAGTTTTTTTTTAATTTCAGCGAATATTGGGTTTGTTAGGGCTGCAACAATTCATTAGCATGATGTTACTATACATATCCGGATACTGTGGTCACAATACGATACGTATCACGATACTATATATATCCGGACACTGTGGTCACAATACGATACGTATCACGATACTATACATATCCGGATACTGTGGTCACAATACGATACGTATCACGATACAATACATATCCGGACACTGTGGTCACAATACGATACGTATAGTAACAGTAGCAGCAAAGAGAAAAGATAAGTTGCAAATTTACTATATTAATGGAAATATTACAACTTGAAATATAACTTGGTCCAAAATGGGCATGACTTAAAAAAAGTTTCATACAATTTTGTATCTTTTGACATGCATGCAGATCGAGCTAAAGCTGTCACTCGTCAAGTTGGAACGTTTATGAGTAGACTAAAGTCAGAAACAGTAAATCCGGAAAACATCCCAGGTGAATCGTGATGACCTCCCAAAAAATATTGTATATCCTACCAAATTAAAAATATCGAGATATATCATGCGACAGCCGTAGGTCATACGAATCTAACTACATGTATAAAGTGATTTTAACAGACTTTGCCTCCGTTATTATCACTATCTCGGGTTCACACAACCAAATATCCACCTCAACAAAAAAGGCCATAATTGATAAATACTACATACAGGTAGGTATCCTATATATATAGTTGTCACTTGTACAAAACACCTACACAAAGCAGTGAACACCTGGACAACAATGGAGCTCGGAGTCCACCATTATCTGTGGTATAGAAATGGGTCAGGGAAAATAGTCCATAAAAGATGACAAACTATATATATGGATCTTGCATACATACAATTGTATAACACATATAGATATCAATGATGTTTCCCCCCCAACTTGTTACTCTAACAAAAACTTAACATCATTGCTGCAGCTATATATATATATATATAAATAAACATCAATCCGCCTGAAGAAGCCCTAGAAGGCAGAAAGGCCTAGCGGACGATCTGAAAAATTTGTTTTTATTTTATTATATATATACATATATAGTCCTTCAAACTGCAGTAAGCTATAAGTTTACATTCCATCAAGCTAAACCCTTTCACCCCTAGGTAAATTTAGTATTCACCCCTAGGTAAATTTAGTAGACTCTACTAAACATTTATCTGGACTGGTTCATTGTGGTTCGAAGTGGTGAAAGTGTTTATTTTTGTAAGTTTTTTCAGTATTCTTACATGTTAAGGATCACTGTCCCAGGCCACTCGCTGTAGTTTTTTCCTATACACAGTAACCTCCCCTTACTTTTTGTTTGGATATAACTGGAGCACAGTTGGGCCTGGATCGCTCCGAGCAATGGTACCCCGTATTACAATCTCAAGTTCATGAAATCCCAGTCTAGACCAGACAGACATTAGCTTATAAAGTCATGCCGAAAAAAACAGTTTCCAATATTCATTTACGTTTTTTTGGCAGTGGTACGGGGATCTTTAAATTAAAATTTCAAAATATTAGTGTTTCGATTATTTCAATTTTTTTTTTTTCAATCACCAGAGGTTTATATCTTGAGATAAAACATTTGGTCAAACATGCTGTCTGCCAGCTCCAGAGCCTACAGAGGTTGTAAACTGTATATATATATATATATATAGTAGATAATAAATAAATAAGTCCTTGCGAAGGAAAATATAAAATAAAAACATGTTTTTCAGATCGTCCGCTAGGCCTTTCTGCCTTCTAGGGCTTCTTCAGGCGGATTGATGTTTATTTATCACCGTTGGTTACATGATGTCATCAATATTTGTATAGTCAACAATTTTAATGACGTCATAAATAAACAAGCATAGTGACGTCACAAACAATACCAAGACAAAGAAAACATCTACATACAATACATTGCAAAAATCATTGTGCATTCAAGCTGGGTTTGAGGACTTTGATAAACATATTTTCTTTAATTTCTCTTGCAACTATATCGTCGCTATTCAGTTTGTAAATAGATAACACATAAAAATCATCTTTAGAACATTGATGCATATGTTTGCTAACTTGTTAACATCTTAATTCATTGTCCTTCGTTAGTTGTCTATGTACATTCATTCGTATTCTCAATTCACATCCGGTCTGTCCGATATAAAATTCACCACATTGTTTACACATTAAAGAGTAAATAACATTCTTAGAATGAGTTATATATATATATATATAAAACATCCACCTACATGTACACATTCACAGAGGCTATGTGTATATGTAACACAAATGGGTCCGTCTGTACAACTATATGTACCATGCATTTTTATAATTCCTATTTTATTGCTGATGATTATGTACTGAAGAAACGTACCTCACAAGGTTGTTACAGGCATATATATATAAGTTAAAAAATGTACAGTCTGGTTGCATATTGCGTGACAGTATCCAAAATTTCTACAACATCCTCTAATGAAATTCTAACATTACCCATCTATGGTACATAATGAAAAGTGTCCATGGTGGTTTGGTAGCGCATTGGATAGCTCACTGGCCTTTCACCAAGATGGCCCGGGGTTCGATTTCCAGATTGGACGTGAAAAGGTATGGGGTTCCCTGCCTAACCACGTTGGTTTTCTCTTGGTACTCTGGTTTCCTCCCACATTAAGAATAAGACCCACCCGTGTACTAACATCCGGGCCAACAAGAGTGATTAATATAAGTTGAAATAATTTGTTTCATAATTGTTTTAAAATAAATAAAGTTTATATTACAAAGTGTCCATGCATGGTTGGTGTTTTAAGAGATTCAATCGAAGCAAATCAAAGTTACAAAGCAAGAAATTAACAACAGCTTTTCTAAACACAATACTTGGAGCCTTTTTGCGTCGTTTAAAGTTGCGAAAGTAGCAATCAGTCATAAGGCCCAGCTAATGGGATGTTGCATGGGAAAATAAATGTCTAAATAATTTTCAAATATGGTTCAACTGTAAATACTAATTAAGTCTTAGGGTGATGTACATAGTATATAAATCTATATGGTTACTCATTATAAACATTTCAAGTATTTCAGTTTTATCCATAGCAACTATAATTTCACGCAATAAAAAAATAATGTTATAGATATCACATGATTTGTTATAAACAGATCGAGTATAAATAGCCGCGGGAACAGATTGAGGACAAGAATCGTGCGGCACTGTTGACTTCTGCTAATGACTAGTTCATGATAACGCCAACATTATCAATAATGTTAAAAATAACTTGTGCATGATTTCATTGTTATCAGACCTATAGGCGAGATAGAAATAACGTGGATTATTTCATCAATTCTAACCTATATTGATTACCACAGTTTTACAACAAGGTGTAATAGTCCCATTGATAGACTAGCCAATGTGTAACACTTGGCAATACAAGGTTATGGAGTGTTTCTTACAATTTATAGATCTGTACACGTATGTACAGCATAATTAAAACTTATAAAATTACAATTGCAGTAAATTATAAACAAGTTGATACCATATCCATACATGTATATATATCAAATTGAAATAAGAAACCTGAAAAGAACACCAAATGACATTATATGCAATATCTAGTTTAATCAATATTATGACCTCTGTGCACTGGTTACTCAGCTTTCAAAAGGGTACCATTCACATGGATTTAGCAATAATATACTTTTCTTCAAAGGGAGATAATCAATGTATGCATTGGGATATATGATTAAGGAATTTATACTAATACTTATACTCTTGGATGTACAATTTCAATTTTAGAGTACCAGTTGGAAGGTAGTTTTAGAAGAAATTTTACTCCCCCAACCTGTAATTAGATAGTAAATACTAATACATTTTTACTTTCCCAGACAACATCTTTATTTATTTATTTATCCCAGGTCAACAGATATGACAAAAAACTATTTTCATCTTTATAGTTGCATAGATCTATATATATAAAAAAAAATAAAGGATAAAATTCTTCATGTCAATGAAATATTATTGACCAATTGACAAATAAAATTGAAACAGCTGATTTAACTCCTTCAACCCTGAAATTTCCTAATGAACTATTCTAACCTTTGTATTGGAAGAGTTCAAGTGTGGCTTCAGGGGTGAATGAGTTAATATTATCAATTAACATAAAAAAAAACTTGAACAGAGAATTTACCTGTTGAATAAATTCCCTGAAGCAAAATATAATTTATAACATGCATGCACACATAATTCTTAAAATCATGTAAACATGAAGAGCAAACAACCAAAGTATAAGGAAATGTAAAAGAGAACATGCTATGTTAACTAATTACCCGGATGGAGGAAGTCCTTGAGATGGAGGATCAAAATAACCACTAAAGACCGACATGTTTTAGAATAGATGTTTTAGAATAGTCGTCGTGTTGTATTACCACCATAAATATGATGGTTTTTTCCCGGCCATTTCCTGTTACATCACAGACAGGTGATGTTTACAAACAAACGGATCATTACCTTGCACCATCTCCGTTCGCATTTATAGATCATAAATATTATAATTTCTATATCACGATCATTTGAATCATCGTGCTGTTAGAAATATTTTGCCGTGCTTACTTTAACTGAAACATATACCCAGTCAGTGTAACTTGGAAAAGAGAGAAAAGATGTTTCCTTGATAATAATTTCTTATAAAGAGGTTAAAGGTACACATACAATTGCTTCTGGAAAGTTTTTGTGTTAAGTGACAGGAAATTATTTCTCCCCTAAAAAACACCCATAATTTCCAAAAAGTTAAGTACTTTATTATAATGATATGTTTTTTCAATACTGTTCATCGTTATAAT